TCGATTATTCCATGGATCTCCAGGGAGTTTCATGGAATTCACAGGAATTAGACATTTAAAATATCCAGTGAATCAAATGGAATACATAACAGATTTTGGTCCACTGCAATTTATTTAATCAACATAAGGACCGCATAAATCTCTTTTTAAAGATATCAATCAAAAGTTAACATTCTTTCGGCGGAAACTTTGACATACTCTAGCTTAACAAGTTAATTTTTACTTGTGCCTTAGATACATGCAGTTTAGAATGCAGCAATCACATTGAAGTAGCTTATATGAAAAATCTAGATTTAATATATAGCAAGGAATCTTGGCCTGGTGTTTAAGAAAAGTAACAGGCGAACAGATGTATAATTCAGAGAAAAAAAATAAGCTAATACTTGAATGCACAAATCGTCAGTATGTAACACTTAAACATGGCTTTATTTAATGCGACGAAAAAGGGAAGTGCTACTTATTTTCCTCGATCAGAACCACTACGGTATTTAGTTATAGCAAAGTCCTACCTAATCCTTGGGGAAAAAACGCCGTCAGCCACAATTATAATTTATCAGTCTCTTGTATAGTTTTTACGCAGCAGGCATAAAAATTCTAAATGTGATATTTCTTCTTAATACATCGAAGCAGTCCATTGAAGTACAGTCTTCTAATTCTAATTCTGCTAGAATTAGTAATTATTCTAAAGGATTCCGAAGGCAATTTGCAGGAAAGACCACATTCATATCTGTATGGACAAAAAAGATGGAAACTACATATTAAAATCGATAAACTGCACCCGAAAACATACCCTTCTAAATCTAGCAGAGGCAATCGAGCGGACGAATTCAGTTGAGCAACCAAACACGAGTTGTGTACATGTTAAGCTTACCTTCCTCTTTAATGTGCGATCCAGCTGAGTCATTGTTTAATCGAAGTTAATTTGAAAGAAGCCAAATGTAAGCAACCTCACAAGTGATATTTTGCGTTGAAAAGAACATCTTTTTCGGATGCATTCATTGCAAAGACAATCCGTTTACACAACACTGTCGTACTGCAGAGAAGTCGGCCTAAAGATTTGAACCAAGAAGACTGATCTTCTACGCATTTCTATATTGGTTCAAAAGCCCCACGTGATCGCGTAAGTCACAAAGCAGAGTGGCCTGGAAGCCAGTTCAAGCACCAAACATGGCGTCAACTCGACTGAGCTGAACAACGTCTGCGCATGTGCAGAGACGGGAGAGGTCTGGGATCTAAACTAGTATTGTTTGCAAAAGGATTTTCAAAACATCCTCACATTTTGGTGATTTTTAAGATGGATTCTGAATATTTAAGGTTCCCATTTAAACTAAAGGTAGATTATTTCATACTTTATCCAATTCTCGTTTCTACCTTTGTAATTTTTCTTCCACTTTTTTTCTATGAACAAAAGAAGACGCACGAACCAATTGTCCCTGCTATAAATAGTATAGTTTGCAAAAGGATTTTCAAAACATCCTCACATTTTTCCGATTTTTAAGGTGAAAGTACAGACTATCAACATGTTATCAGTTTTAAGAAATAGTCCGGTCATCATATCAGTGTCAGCATTAAGGGTACAATTTTTTTATCTTTGTCAGTTTCCTTGAATGATCGTCTTATTTTTATATATAGCTATTTCTCTTGTTATATCTCGCTTGGTTTCATTATAAGAACTGTAAGAACACACTTTCGAATTCGATTCTTTCTTCCACACTTGTTTCCCTTTATGACTCTTTCTTAGCTCAGCTCAAAAGAGCCATTATAAATTTTTGGATATGGCAACAGGCAAAATTAATGTTGAAAAGAGTAAATGGGTAAGTAATACAGTCGATGCCTGCTGGTATCAATGACTTGAAGTTCTCTAAAAAAGCTTCATTACAGGAAAAAGAACAATCTGACTCTTTATAAACTTTCATTTATTTTTCTTTTCGAAGTCTAGATCTTCATTCCTTGATTCTTCTGCTTCATTCAAACCTGTCATAAATGGAAAACTTATAGTTAATACCAATACTCACATAGAGCTGAGCCAACTTGTGATTGTTTCTCAAACCTTCAACAGCTTTAAAATTTAAAAGGTTATTCATTAATAAGCTTAAATGTGCAAATAAATTTTAGACAAACTTAACCGAATAAATACTGATTCTACACCTTGACCAGCTCCTCTAAGCCGGCTGGAGCTTTATGTACAAAAAAGCTTCTTTGATCGAATTAAGATTTGTAACTAAGTTTATGACTTTCATGACTTCTTGTGTCTGTGGTATCTTCGCGCTCAAAGCCGGCTTTCTTGCCACCAAGAAACGGTCAACAACTATTATCGCTCGGCTACATTTCAAATATTTGCTCCTCCTCAACCAGAATAGAGTAATGTTTTAGTAAATGGTTTACATACCATCGAAGAAAAGTCGCCCAAACTCCAGCACATTGCTCTTTTTTTTAATTTCTCAGTCATCTTTCTGCAAACGTACTGACAATATGCACCAAAACAATGAAAAACCTCGCCGGGACGTTCAAAAACATTTTCCTTGATCCCTGGATTACGTATCATTTCTTTCCATGAGTTGAATTTCTAAGGTATTCGTAGAATTTCTCCTTCGTTGGCATTCACAAATATGAGTTTAACAGATGGTCGAAGATAAAATAGTCTCAGATGCAAGAATTTCACTTTCCAAAAGTGCTTGGCGCACGGGCTAGTCAAGTAAACAAGTGATGTCACGGACATGCGTAGAACGTTATTCAGCCTGTCCGCGTCAACTCACGGCACGATCGTGGAGATGTCTGTCTTTAAAGGCTTTAAATTGTGGTCCCTTTCAGAGTTAATTGTACTATTCCGACGCTGTCGAAGAGTAAAGCAGTGAGAGGAAAATATTGCATTGTTCTCCCAGGTGAGGGAACCTTTGAAAAAAGGCAGCAGGCCTATTCATAGTCGGCTACACAGCCGTTCTTAGTGTCGTCACGCAACGCTCCTCCCCACTAAAAACGGCTGTGTGGCAGACTAGCCTATCCACGGATGCGGCAAAAAAAACTCTAATATTGCTTGTGTAGGTTCGCCGGAATACTCCATGCAAAGCAATCTCATCACTCAGGTTGGACTCGAGTAATAGGGAAAATCTTAACTCTCAACCAAAGACACTTTGATACCGAGAAGAGTTATGTGCCTGGTGGGATCATTTTCTACTGGCTATTTAAGTACGGGACCAATACATCGTCTTGTATTTACTATTCATACGGGATTCTGACTAAACTGATTAGGGATATTAAAGCACTGACTTGAAACGGTTAGCTTCTAATTAGGGTTACGGTTGTTGTTATATGAATAAAATCAAACTCCACCTAGCAGCGAGTTAATACTCCGCGGTAGCGTGGTAAGGCTACGAACTATGGATTCTACGCCGCGGGATCGGTTCTCGATCTTGCCACATCGAATTTTTCTTCTTTTCAAAATTTGCCACTGAAATTTTTTCCTTAAAAATGGAACGGTGGTTGAAGAGACTTACACTTTCATGGAAATTTGTTGATCAGAAATTTTAAGAGACTTAGAAATTTCATGTAATATATCAAACATGAGATGCAGTGTTTCATCACCAGATGAAACACCGAGAAGAGAGTTGAAAATACGACGCGCAGCGGAGTATTTTTGACGAACTTCGAGGTGTTTCATCTGGTGATGAAACACTGTGTCGAATGTTTGATATTTCTTCTCAAACAAAATCATTTTTGAAGGAGAAATTAAGGATGCAAATACTAAGCAGTGTTTCATCCGATTTCCAAACACTCATTAAACATTAATTTCCTTTGTATTTTCTTAATGAATTATTAATGAGTTTGAGAAATCAATTTCAAGTAGAGACTTGATCCCGTATGTCATAGCAAATACACGTCGGTGGCCCGGTCCTGTACGAATAGCCACTGTGTCAATATAATGAAGCAACTGCATGTTGTTAATAACAGTGATCTTCTCATATTTTAAATCCAACAGTGATTTTAAAAGATAAATGGCTGACAACCCCACTTAAAACTAATTTTCTATATTTATTTATTTTTAACAGGATCATTTTTTTGTTAAGCACACAGAACATTCCTCTTTATAGTTAGCAAGAAAATATCTTACACTGGAACTTTCAGCATCGGTGAAGAATACTTTTGCATTGTCTGTGTAATTTAAACTAAACGCACTATTCTGCTTTTAGAAAGCTTCCAAATGTTTCATGTTTTTCTATCCAATAATAGTGCAGACTTGAACATGTAGTTAACAAGTTGATGAGTTGCTTGATTACTGAATTTCTATGGATTTTCTCATGCAAACTGCATGGTATTCTATCGAACTCCATGGACACGTTATGGCATTCCATGGAACTCCATCGGTACTTCAGGGAACCCCATGGCATTCCATGGAACTCTACGATATTCCATGAAATTCCATGGACCTCCATCAATACTTCATAGACTGACTCCGTGGAACTCCATGGCATTCCATGGAACTCCATGGATACTCCCTGCATACT